ATCTTCCCTTTCTAAAAGGAAAGAACCCATCTCCTGGGATCTGACCTCAGCCTTCAGCCTCATCTCACAGCGTCTGTCATCCCTAGTGAAAAGGACAACCCATCCAGCAGCTCAGGACATGCAGCCAGGAAAGAAATGTGCAAGGGAAAAGCCAGAGCCCTATTTAAATAGCTTGTTCAAAGATAAAACCCCAGCCATCTGTCAGCTTGCCCTAGAAGAGGCATGGCTATAATAATTAGCAGAGGCAAAGGCTGCAGAGATGCCAGTGAAAAAAACAGCAGTTTGCTACCATTTTACACAGGTCTGTCATGCATGCAGTGGGAAGAAGGAGAAAGAGTTAACGAATACAAAAGAAGAAAGATCAGTGTATTTCTCCAAAGCAGACACTGCTGGCAGTGTGGGACAAAAGCTTTCCAAAGGCTGCAGGATGCTTTGGGCTGGTGCAATTTGGCACTCGGCATCCCAAGAGCAGATGCTGCCACAGAGGATCAGTAGCAGCTGATCTCACTCAGATCTCGAGGCTCTGCCTCGCAGAGGAGTCCCCACAGCTGGAGAGTGGTCCTGGGATCTACAGTGCTGCCAGAGATGGGGGCAGTCCCACGGGGCTGGGTGCACATAATCCCCAGGAAATGGCTGGGATGCTGTCAGAGGGGCTGGGCTGCCACATCTCTCACCATGGCTGTGCTGCCCACCCAGATAGCTCCCATTTAAACAGTGCTGGTAACATAGACCTGCCCTCTATTCCCAAAGGAAGAGCACTTTCTTTGGGAAAAACACATCTTTTCAGAGCTCAAGACATCCGGAAACCCCTGTAAATCCATCAGTGCAACCTGACAGTGGCATCTGGAGTGCTTGGGTGTGCTCCCTGGTGCCAAGGTGAGTGCCTTGGTGGGATATCCCCTGTACCCTGGGCTTGCAGAGCCCCTTGCACACACACTCCTTCTCCCCACAGACGTGCCGCTCCCAGAGCCACTTCCACAGCCTGGAGCACCCTAGTGCCCTGAGCCTCGGCTGGCCCAAGCAGTTGTGGTGACTGGGGCTGTGACAGCTGCTCTGTCACTACCTCCCCCAGGAGCATCACGCTGAAGTTCCCCTCACAGAGCTGAAAAGCCGCTTTAAAAGAAGAATCTTGGATTATAACTCCTAATCCCTTCATTTGCAGTAAATGCAGAGAGGAGACAGAGATGTCAGCTCTCTCTCCCCCCTGCAGGACCAAATGCACTTCAAAAACACAGCAAAGCATTTGTGTCACAGGCTGGGCAGGCAGCGACCCAGCACGGCTGCTTGGCCAGGCATTGCAGCACCATCCGGAGGGCAGGGACAAGAAATGGGAATGTTGTCTCTCTCCAACCAGGCACGGTCATCCCCCTCCTTCTCTTGCCCTCCTTCATACCTAGGAGTTATTTTTAGAGGTGTGTCAGTCAGCTCTGGCATGTGCTGGAGGGGGATGCACAGAAAAGAGGGTGGCAGGAGCACTCAGACAGGAGCAAATTGTGTCCAAAAGGCACATGGGCTCCCTGAGGATGGGCAGAGAGCAGGGCAGGGAGCTAGCACTGCCTGTGTGCTGAGACAGGGGGCACAGGTGCCACCATGTCCTGCCCTTGTCACCCTGGGGCCAGCTGGGGGGCTGATGTACCCACAGGTCTGTGTAAGGGGCTCTGGAGCCACTGAGCAGACAGTGGGCAGTGCTCTTTGGATGGATGGCAAGGGATGAGTTTACATGATAGAACCTTTTATCTGGAAAGATATGGAGCAGGTTTTTTCTGGATCTGGGTCAGCAGCGTCAGCACAAAACTAGCAGGTGCTTTTATTTGTGGGGTCAGTGCAGGGATATTTGTATTTTCCTGAACACCATGATGCAATTCAAACTGGCCAAGAATCTTTTCCAAGCTGTGCAGCCTTCAAAGGCAGAAAAACATCCAGCTGTGCCACCATGCCCTGTTCTGCCAGTGGGTCCTGGGCTTGTGGGAGATGCAGTGATCAGGCAGCAGTGCCCCCCAGCAGTCTACCTGCCCCTGTGTTCTGGCTATGGGACCCCCAGGGGCCAGCCTGCTCCCCATATCATTACAGCAGTGATTCAGACAAGTCCCTTCCTGATGACTTGTTTTTTTCATCTGGAAGCAGAAGCACCTTGCCTGGCCAGGATAAATCCCCCCCATGACCACTCTGCACAGGGCTGCAGCTGTGGGGGTGAGTGCTGCTTGTTCCCGAGAGCTGTGGTGGGGACATGTGCCACCCCACGAGGGCGTGGGGCTGGTCCCTGAGGCTGCAGTGAAAGCTGGTGCCATTTACTTGGCAGCACAGTGGCATCATGCCAGGCTGTCAGGAGGCATCTTCCTCAGCATCATGGCTGTCAGGTATCGGCACGGGGAGCACTAACCTCTCCTGAGTGTCTCCAGGCATGGACACTTCCCAGCTGACGGCATCGCAGGGATGATGGACACACACTTGTCAGAAGCCCCACACAGCTGCCTCAGGCAGGGCTGCAGTGGGGATGCTGGGATGCACCCCATCTTCTGCTGTGTTTTAGGGGCACACCATGTGGCCTCCAGCCCAGCAGACACCCAGAGATGAGCACTACACCTCATGGTTTCAGCTGCTGAGGAAGGCAGGCAGTGCTTGGTGAAAGCTGGTAGCCCTCAGTACAAGCCAAACCACAGTGGATATATCCCATCAGTGATGCAGACCCCCTCCCCATTTAGCCAACATCACCAAATGCAACCAGGATCCTCCAGTCCCAAGAGAAACCCCCTGGAAGAGGCAGTGGATAAGGACAAATTGCTCATCCAGAATGACACCAGCTTTAAGGGCACCCCTGATGCACAACACAGCTCCTCTCAACACACCATTTAATAGAACTGTGGAGAGACTACCAGCTGCACAGTGGCTGGCCAGCCAAAGCCTTTCAGTGCCACACAGCACCATATCCTGTCATGGACATGGCACAAGTCTTTTATAACCAGCTGCCAGCTGTTGGAACACATCTGCTAGAATGGCAGCAGAAAGAGCTCCCCTCTCCCAGGGGAGAGGATCACCCCTGGGTCTCCAGGGGAAGCAGCTCTAGAGCAGTGCCAGAACAATCCTGCCTTTCCCATGGCCTGTGTCACCCCCTGCTGCAGCAGAGGATGGGGGCAGGGGCATTTATTTTATATTTTGCAGGCCTCAGGAAAAAGAGGATTTGAGAGGGATTTGAACACAGGTCCCTAAATAGCTTCTTAGAATTAAGAGATTTCATAAAGGATTATTTCAAGCTGCTGCCTATGGTGCGGGGGAGAGGCTGGCAGGTGCTGGGGGGGTCAGGGGACAGAGAAGAGGCAGGAGTGCTGTAGCTGAGCACTGGGGAGCACAATCCCCTTCTGAACTACAGCAGTGAGGAGGGGAGCAATGTACACCCTGGCTATGCATCCTCTCTTCTGGGTGAGTCAGAAGGAATGAGGCGCAGAGTGGTGGTCAGCAAATGTGGTGCACCCTGGGAACAGGACAAAAGCAGTTCTTACCTCAATGGACAGATATGGCTGCTTTGGCAGACCCGCCCACAGTGGCATTTCAGAGGTGTGGGATGAGCTTAAGGGGGTCCATCAACACCCCTGACTTCTCACTAGACGGAAAACCTGTGCAAGGAGGTGGGAAAGCTCTTCTAGCACTAAGGATGGGAGGAGTCTGCAATGCTGGAGGAGGGGATCAGTCCATCAGATAGAGCTTGACTAAGGGCAAATTCCTACCTGCAAGGTTATGCATGCCAGACTTCACAGATCCAAATATTCATGGTGGAAATAACATAGTGCAAAAACAGGAAAGGCCACAAAATCTTTCAGAACAGGCACAGCTTTGTGCACACTTGGGGAATGTGGTTTGAAATATCTTTCTAGTAATACCAGGAGATAGTAGTCCTTGTCACGGCATTTTCTGGTGCAAAGAGGAAGAGAAATACCTGGAACTTCATTACAATTTTGATATTGGGATGGAAATTGGTTTTTAGGGACTGGATCCTGTGAAAAACTGGGGTTCTCTGTGGGATCCTGAGCTCCAGCTTTCAGGAGCATGCACACAGCGAGAGGCTAAGCCACAGGCATGCAGGAAGGAGCTCTAAGTTGGAAGGAGAGCATGTGAGAGAAACAGGGAAGAAGGCTGGTGATAATAGATAGAAATGAGGAAAGAATAGAAAGCAGAAGAGAAAGGAGGGAGAGTTTCAATTTTACAGTACTGGAACTAAGAAAGCAGGAAGAAGAAAGCTGAGGTAGATAATTTCCACTTAACAGATGATAGCAGGAAATGACTGAGGCAAGAGAAACAAAGGAGCAGGGCAGGAGAGAGAAAGCAAAGGAGGAGGTCACAAGAAGAAAACTGAGCAAATTGTTAAATCTCATCAAATATTGTTATTATGAGCAGCCCCTGCTGCTACATCTGGAACAATGTGCCACAGGTAAGGCCACAAGTCAGAGAGATGCTGGAGCTAAAATCCTAGCAAACAGGAATTGGGAGTTTAGAGATTTCCTTGGCAACCAGGGAAAGAATTTTGTTTTCTGGACCCTTCCTTCCCTACTCCCCTGGAGGAAACAACCTTCGAACAGCTCTGCCAGCAATAAAGCTTTTTGGCCAAGAGACAAAAAAAAAATTACCACTTAACGCTGATTTGTTCTTCCTCAGACCTCAGCTGCCCCAATGAAGTTGGAAGAAACAAAGTCTTCCATGGTTTTATGGCCTCACTCAAAAATTGAGTCCATTGCCCATCACCCATCTGTGCAACCCTCAGTCTGCATTTGAGGGAAGGGATGATATGGGACCTGGATGCACAGGCAAAAGCAGGTCTCTAGTAAGGGTAATTACTGCAAAGTTTAGAGCTTAAACACATTTTTTGTGGACAGATGTTCCTCTCTAAGGAAATACATGTTTATAAAGAGTGGTTTCCTTATTGCCCCGGTTCATAAAAATAGGTGAAATTGGAATAGAAATGTTCAGCTACAGAAGCACAGACAATTAAAGGACAGGGAAAGATGACATGTCTGTAACTGTCTGCAATTAATAGTGATGAGCTATGATTGCAGCTTTCAGTGTTTGGCTTTTGGGTTTACAAGACTAAGCCTATAAACTCAGCATTTCCTCATGTCTATTTAACAGCTGCAAATTTTTTGACACAAACACCATAACAATTACAGTGGAACAGGGTGTGATCTAAGCTCAGGGTGTTGGAGACCACAAAACATGCACGTAATGCCCAGCAGCCATGACTGTTGAGAATCACACATACAAATATAGATTGGTTACACATCTGAAGCAATAGTAATTGAAGATGCACCGATGAGTTGGCAGGCGACCCACTCCCAAAGGGGTCTGACTTTAGCTTTCACCAGAAAACTTTCTTCCTTCTCTAAATGATCCATAGGCTGGAAGACTGGCAGAAGAGTGGGTTGGCCCCACGCTCTGGTGAGTCACAGGGACAAGCAGCACAGGGCCAACCTGCAGAAACTACTATTGGAGAGCAAGAGAATTGTGCTAAGGCTCATCACTCACCTGTCACCTGCAGTAGGATGCCTGGGGACTGCAGTGTGTCACTTCTGAGACCAGACTCTTTGGTAGGAAAGATGGGTGGGATGTATTTTTTCTTGAATGCTCATTTATGAGTTTGTTGATTCTGATCTAGAGCTGGGAGTGTCAGCAGACCTGGCAATGCTGTGCCAGGGGAAGGGAGAGCCTAATCAGCACTAAGTCACAGTAGGTGTGCTCATCAAACACTCTGTGTACAAGGATATCTCTGTGTGGGGTCACTGGGAGGCTGGCACAACTGGGAGCATCACTATCACACCTACACATGGCACTATGATCAGCCACCTCCTTCCACAAAGCTTTCCTACCAAGAAATATGCTGCTGTTTAAGGATGGATTTGAAACATTTCTTAGCCTTTTCCAAGGTGTTACACTCCTCCAGCACCATCTACAAGAGCTCACAGCCCTCTGTGGTTTATGTGTTGGGAGCTGGGATGTGCCAGTGACCAATCTGTCTGAACAGACACATCCCAAGGGAAGTCAGCAGTTTCACAGGGGTGGGTTTAAGCACGGTGGCTACATCCTGCCAACTGCCTCAGGAATTCTTGCCTTCCACCAGCTGGGATTTAGGAGTGGCCAGTTCCTAAAAAAGTATAAACTGAACCACCCATGGCCATCATGATCCATCTGATTGTTTCCCATGCAGGGACACAACCAGGGAGGGTGCTTGGCAGGAACTACCATGTTTTATCTTGGGTGGAGATTTTCACAGTGCTGGAAAATCTCTTTATCACACAGCCTTGCCTCTGCACAAAGCTTGTTGTTGTCAGTGTGGGAGACTTGAACAGTCTGTAGCAAAGAGCCCTCCATTTACCCTTTTAGCTGCTTTTTAGGGTCAGGCCGTGGTTACTGCACACTGCTACAGAGGGTAGGATGCTCCAGGAAAGAAAGGTTGACTGCTCCACTGGGCTCTGGCTCACAGTGCCAGCCCCAATGGATGCAGCAAACATGCCTGGAGACCGTGCAGAGATGAAACATGGCACTGTGAGCAGCACACACTGTGCCCAAGCCCTTCTCCAGGTGTTGGGTGATGTCCTACAGCTACCAACAGGCAGGACTTCTCCCTAGAATCCCTTGTTCTGTACTAGAACCCTTTGTTCTGCATATCCCCTCCAGTTATGTATTTGCTGGTGGTTTATGCTCCATCAATCAACAGTCATCTGGGATTTGAACCTAGTGATAGCAATCTCTGGGGTGAAACACAGCTGTGTGCTGGGGGATGCTCTGTGGAGTTTCACATGGAAAGGCAAGAAAAACAGAGAAATGGATAACAATCAGTCTAAGCTCTCTAGAGACACCACTTCTCTTCAGGAGGAGGAAGATGTGGGTACCAGCTGCTCCCCCCTGAGAGCCTGGACCAGGATGTTGAAGGATGAAGGTGATCACCACACAATGCCCTGGTGGCAGCTTGTTCAGGGCCTTGGTCAGCTATGCCAGGAGGAAGAGCCACGAACAGGTTCCTCCACCAGGTCCTCTCTTGGACAAACGAAAGCCACTGCAGAGCCAGGGACAGCAAGCTGTGCCAGAGGAGCTCGAGGGACAATGTGGAGTGAGCAACTACAGGGCAGAGCGAGGAATTTGGTCTTTCCTCCTACACGGCATCATCTGAGATCCTCCCATTCAAGGACGTCTTCGGCTGGAGACCATTGTCCTGAGCGTGCACCTCTGGCCTGGGCTGCGTCATCTGCTGCAAACGCTGCCAGGAATGAAAGGAGAGAGTGTCAGCCAGGGCTGGGGCAGCAGCAGGGGTACAGCCAGGGCATGGTGAGGCTTGGAACCCTCACCACATGGCTCAGAGGTGACCCTGATTACAGGGCAAGGGGATGCTGCATGGAGTGACTCCTCCAGCAGCATTTGGTAGTACCCCAAAAGCCTCTGCGAGTCACCTTTGCTTTGATGCTGCACAGAGCACAGCAGCTCCTCCTTTTATCAGAAATATGGGGAATATCCTGATAAGAGGCAAAATCTTACCAGGCAAGACCAGCTGCAAGGAGGAAAAAGAGAGAGCTGCAGTGCCACAGGCTTCAGAGTAGACCTATTTTTCAATCAGGGTTGATTACAAAACACTAGTAAGTAATTACAGCAGGTTAACAAGGTGCCTTTAAGGTCTGTGCCTTTGATGCCAGTCAGAACATCCACCTGCACAAACCTTTGCACAGCAGCAATTCCTGTCAGCCTGAGCTGATCAAACGGAAATTGCAGAGTCAAGTAAAGTGAAGCAAGAGCCCACGAAAATACAGAGGGGCCAATCATTACTGGAGACGTGTGGATTGAGCATCAGGAGTGATGAAAAAGAATGAATCACTATTGCCAGTCAGGGAGGGACTGATGCTGTGCACTGCACAAGAGAATGCAGAGGAGGATTAAGCCTGACCTGAACAGACATCACTAAGACAAGTAGAACCTCTTTCCAGTAAAGGGAAACAAACTCCTACCCTCCAATACCACTGAAGTGCCTGCTTCTGAGTGAATTCCCTGAAATGTTCACTGAACTGCTTCTGCCATTTATTGTATTTTTTTCCCTCTAACATTCAGGCTCAGTAGGATCAAAATTACTTGTAATCTTTCCTGTCTGTCAAAACCACTTTATTCAGGATTGGCATCTAATTTCCCTCCAGCTCCAGCTCTATTACAAATTAATCCAGGATCTGTGTATATAAGAGGCCAAAAATTCTCTCTGTCTCTCTGATACCAACACATGCATACACAGATTAGCCTACTTTCTTCCTGCTGCCATCTGCTGCTCACTCCTGGGTCTATGAATGATTGAGAGGGGGTCTGGGTGTCGTGATGTTTGTGGGCAATGTTAGAAGAAGAGTCAGACTGGGAGGGTGCACATCAGCCACTCATGCTGCTTACTGGTGCTGATGGTTTGCACAAGATGCTGAGGGGAGGGGTAGAAACACACTCAGGAGCTTCCCTCCAAGCCCCTGGGGCAGCACAGGAATACACAGCACTTTGAAAGGACTACGGATATAATTGGCACAAGCTTTGGTCAGGAGTCAAGCTGCTCCTGAGAGGTCACAAACCAGTTTGGGCTCCACCAGATGCTGTGATGTGCTTTCTTCCGTCTCCAGTGAAGCAGGATTGGGACTAAGCAAAGGGTTGAACCCATCCCTGTGCTTTCAGGCTTCCCTTCTCCCCTTTTCCAAGTTACATTATGAGTGAATAAGGAGCCCTATAAATGTCTGAGGAAGGGCCTACAGTTGGAATTCAGTTGGCTTTAAACCCAAAATCAATGAAGCAGCTTGACATAGCACCCTGGCTTGAGTCCTGCAGGAAGGACAAGTACCTAAACCCAGCTTCAGATGAGAAACCAAAAACTGAAAGCAGATTTGAGATCCTAAACCCACCCAGTTCACCCACTTCAGAGTCCATCCAAATGGAATGCTGGGAGGAAGAAAACTCAAATCCACCTGCAACTTTACCTCAAAGGAAGAGAATCTGAAGCTGACCTCAGCCCAGTAAATCCTGCCACAACTTCTTTGAGTCAAAGTTTGTTAAAAATACAGCATCTCAAAAATAAACTCATGTGATTTGGATGGCATCTGGTTGCTGTTCCAGCTGGGCTGGGAAAGCCATAAATCAACACTCCTGGGGTGACTTCTTACAACTGTAAGCACTGAGCCAGGGATTTGGGGCACAGTGCTCTCAAGATGGAATGTCAACACTGTGGATTCACTGCTTCATAAAATCCTGCTCAAATTACTAAAGAAAATGTTTGAAACAAAGCTAGTGTGGGTGGGTATTGTGGTCTTTCTTGCTTCCTAACACCTCCGTCACTGAGTGTTCTCTGAAAGGCACGTGACAATACACCCCTGTGCTTGTTTCTGCTGCTAGCAGAGCCTAGCCTAAGACATTTCAGGATTCATGCTTGGAGGTGATGATCTCCCTGCTGAGGAGTGCCAAGTAAACATGCTCATAGCCAGGAATTGTCAGGAGCTGGGATTTCTCTGGATCAAGAAACATTAAGGATTTTTCCCAAACTCTTCCATGGCTCCAGTACACCATGCCAAAACAATAGTCAGGGGAGGAGGGCTACATTTTTGTGGTGATGGTCGCACAAATCTCATTGAAGAACAGCAGAGATAAGGGTAGACCATCTGAAGGTCTATCTGCATGCCCAGCCACAGCCCAGCTGAGCTCCCAGAGCTAGATGTGTCCTGCTCAGCTGTGCTGGCAGCTCCTGTCCAGCGAGCCCGTGTCACTGGAGGCTGTTCAGGGCACTGGGACTGATCTGAACCCTTGCTCTCTCCTGGGGAGATGGCACACAGAGCTCCCGTAGCACCAACCCGCTGCACTCATAACTCTGTCAGAGCAGGGTCTGCTTGGTCCAGGTTGGGCTCAGGGAGGAGCTTACCCTGAGCAGAGGGCAGGGTGGTGAAGCTGTTCCTACCTGCCGGAGAGTTCCTGTTGAGGTGAAGAAAGAGTAGAGCATGTACCCTGGAATCAGAAACATGGAGGACAGGGCCATGAGCCAACCGATGCCTTGTCCCCACACAGGATAGACGTATTTTCCCAGTGTCAGAGGGGTCATTTCCACCACACTAAAGAAGAACACACCCTAGAAAAGAACACCAGCCATTGCAGGGGAAAGTGCAAAATTGGGGCCCAGCCATTCTTTCCTTCATTATCTTCTTAGCTCCCAACAGTCTTACAGGAACCTAGCAGCTCTTTTCATTAGTCTAGATTCTTTCAGCACACCAACTGGTAATTTCATATCATTTCTTCTTATCCTAAGCTGGATAAGATATCCTAAGCTTTCCAAAAACCTGGAATTGGAATAGCCCATATTTCCTTCTTCACTAGACTACTCAGACAAGCAGTGCCACCACAGCAGTTGCTATGCAAGTAACCAGCATCCTCACAGCTGGTCTCAGGAGTCTTCAGATCACACCACTCCCTGCACTACTTCTGCTGGAAGGGCAGGAGCCTGCAAAGGCCAAACTGCTCTGCAGTCAGTTATCCTCCAGTTGGTGATAGCTTTTGTTTTCATAAGTCTGTCAGAGGCTGAAGCTGGAGTAGCTGAAAGCCAGAACCAATAATAGCTTTTTAAAACATTACATTATTTTGCTTATGCTGCTCTGGCATCTCAGGGAAAAAAAAAAAAAAAAAAGAAAAGAAAAAAAAACCAAAAAAACCCCAATGGCCTTATTTAGATTAAAAGCAATCATCTAGAACTTTTTTTTATGGATGATTTCCAGCAGGCAGAGTGAAAGAGGTTCCTGTATCACATTACCCATTTCCAGTCTGCCTGGGACTCCCTTGCACCAGACCTGTGCTTGGTTGAGAACAGAATGTTTCCCTACAGCCCATCTAGAGGCCTTTCTAGACCTGCTCTTGCACATAGGATTCCCCAGGTCTTACCAGGCAGACAAGAGGTGTGAAGAAGGCCCAGCAGATCTTCCACCAAATGCAAGGCTTGTAGCCAATCATTTCTTCAATGTTCCTGTAAAACCTGTTCACACCTACAAGAAGAAATGAGTATTGAAAATAAAAACCATCTCTGTACCACGGCCTTCATCTCTTCTCATGGCAGAGCACAGGCCAGGCACAGCAAGAGGGTGACAGTGTGGCATGGGAAGCATTAGCTGGAGGGGATGGGGTAGTGGGACACAAATTCATGCTAACAGCTTCCATGTTCCTGGTGTCCTCTTGAGGGCCCAGAGGGAAGGACCCTGGGCATCTGCCAGTCTGTGCTGAGGTCTTTGTGAGGGCCTGGAGAAGTGAGATGACAGCCTTCCACTCCTGATTTTCTGAAGTTATCAATGTAAGCTATTTTCGGCTGCAAAATTGTCATTGTCTTCACTGGCTTTGGCTTTTTCAGCAAGTCACCATGCCCACAGAGAAAACAAAGGAACAAGGTGTTTTGTGCTTACCATAACACCAAGAAATTGAGATGGTCTCAAAGAAGACAAGAAAAAGAAGACACATGCCACTGGCTGAGTAGTAATCAAACAGCTTGAAGACATAAATGCCACCCCTAAAAAGGCAAAAACAGGTCAAGGAGTTCAGTTATAGATGATGATCGGCAACATCAGCCAGCAGCTTGGATTGCTACTGTCCCTGTCTGTTGGTTTAATCTCTATTTCCTTGGACAGTAGAGCCACTGTTTTCACTGGAGTTTGACTCCCAGCAGCATAAACTGATGTGCTCTTGCAGACAATCAGCCAGCCTGTTCAGGCATAGCCCAAGGTGAGGAGAAAAGAAATTCACTAGGATCTCTTGATTCCTCTGCTTTAGAAGGAGTCAAGTTAGTCTGCTCTGCCCCTCCCAGAGTTTTGCTTTGCCTCCTCATTGAACCTACACTGCTCCACAAATGGTCTCCAGACCACTCAGCCCTCACCTCACCTCCTGTGAACCTTGGCTTCAGCTTCAGAGGTTCAAAGCCCCCCAACAGACAGGTTTTCTTTTGTTATCTTAACTCTTTGAAGCAAGCATTCCCTAAATTTGGGCTCTGTTGGCTTGAGTCTTCATTGCAAAACAGCAGACAACAGGCCAGACTGACAATAGGATGATGATAAAAAATATGGAGCATCCTAAGTCACTTGAGAAGTAGCAGTGATGAACAAACCACTTTACCCAGAACAAGGAGAAATGCTGTCACTTCTCCCAAAGCTTGGTGGTGCTGTGATATGCCAAGTGGTGTCAGGAATGGAGGTACAAGCCACAAGCCTGTACATCTGTACCTGGGTGATGTTGGAGAATCCAATGAGATAAGAGATGAAGCAGACTACTGCGATGAAGATCTTCTTCCTGGCTCTTAGGACTTGAGGATACTCATCCATCAGGGCTGTAATGAACCCTTCCACAGTGCAGAACTATGGGAAAAGGCATACACTCAGGATAATATATAACTTAACCTGTACAAATTTAACTTCAATGTTGAGACCTTAGTGATTTATAGACTCTGCAGACTCTAGAAGAGTCATCTCTGCACAAAGTTGTCTGAACTATCGCCTGAAAATTCATTTCTCTCCCCACTGAATATAGATGGAGCTAGGAGCACCAAAGTTAAATACTTAAAAATACCTTGGATAATCTCTGCCTTTTGCTTCTCATTGAAAGCCTCCTCTTTCTTCCCACAAACTCTCTAGGGTCTCCCTAACACTGCCCTGCTCCCCACACTGCCAGGCCCTGTGCCAGAGTTGTGTGCTGCTGCTGCTGGACATGTGCAGGTCCTTTATCACGCTTCTTGCAGGGCCTTCTTGCTCTTCTCAGCCTGTGGCAACAGCACTTGTGCTGTTCAATGACCTAAAATGCTCAATAAGGACCCGTATTACCCACTCTCATGTGCATGTAAACAACAACATCTCTGATTACCCAGTCCTTGACTTCATTTCACTTTTTCAAGCAACATTAAATGCATGTAGCACACCAAAAGCCCATCTTCACAGCACATCATCTTTCTAGAGGTGGAAATCCCTGGATGGTTTGTGCAGAGCTGTATAATAATGTCGTCTGCACCATAACACATAACAAAATCCCCATGAGTGCTGCCTTCCAATTTTCCTACTAGTTCTGCCTTCTGGCACAAGGCAGTTTAACTGCCCTTGTGAAGTGCATTCTTCTCTCCTATCTTTTGATAATTGTGAGATTTACTTTTATATTTCAGTCCCAGAAACTACAGGTAGCATACCCTCTCAGAGAGCACATCTTGCCTCTAGCAACAACCCTGGGAATTTATGAGGGCAGCAAACTGGCTCCCTGGTCATGCTGAGCAAATGTACAAGCCAGTGCAATGAAAATGAAAGTGGTTTCATCACTTTTCGATGTCAGGGACTTCCCCATCTCTGGGAAGAAAAAAAATCCCCTAGAGTGAAGGTAGAGGTACACAGACCAAAAAGAGCAGCAGAGCGTTGGGAAGATGTGTGGGAAAAAAATGGAGTGCCTGAAGCTATAGCTGGCCAGGGATTGTGGAAGAGCTTGCACACTGCTGACTGCTGGGGCAGAGCAAGGCAAAGGGAGATGTGTATGCCCAGGGTTTTATAGCCACATGGAAAGCCAGTATTCCCAGAGTGTCAAAGCTCAACTGCTTCACTTGAATTTTTAATAAGCTAAGCTTTTATGTTGGACACAAGTGCCACTAACGCATCTTTTGCCGTTCACATGTGGGTTAAGCTGCCTTATAGTCATTGACAGTGAGCCCTTGCCCCATCCACCTGGCTTGGTGTCTGGAAGAGTCAGAACGGAGGTGGCACCACAGTGTGAAGAGATGGCATGAAAAAAAACACTCCTGAAAACTATTCCTTCCACATGGATGCATGGCCAGGCTCTGCAGAGCCACAGCAAGGCCAGGGCATCTGAGATAAAAAGGCAAATGCATTTGTGAGGGAACAGCCCTGGTTGTGGGCAGAGGGTGGTGTCCAGCAGAAAAGGAGCAAAGAAAATGATGCCTTAGGTAATTGGATGGAGTATAGCTGACAGCTCTTTGGTGCAGGAAGAATGATCAAAATCAGGGAATGCACAGAGGGAAAGACAGGGAGATGGGTGGTAAGGAACAGGGTTACAAAGTGAGTTGAATCATCTTTGTCTCCTATGAGTATTAGCTTCTGTATAACAGATAAGGCAGAGAAACAAAATGGTCGTACATTGCTTTTTCTAGCCATGGAACAGGCAATGAGCTTCATACCATTTACTGAAAATTGCCTCATGACAGCCTCAGACTTCATAGGTATGCAGCCTGGAGCTTGGCATGGGCTCACTTTTCCAGCTTACAGACCAAACCCTGGCTGCTTGCACATGAAGACACCTGAATTAAAGCATGCTCTTTCAAAGTGGCAAGGAGCTGAGAATTGGTGTCTCCTGTTCTTGCCACTTGCAGTTTGCTCTCCAAAAAATTCTGCTTTTCCCACCAAACCTCTCCAGCAACATTTTTAGCACACATTCTTTTCTTCTTCATGCCTCACTCCATGATATTATTTCTTTCGCCAAGCACTTTTATTTCCATTAAATCTCTCTTTTGCTCCATTTCCTCTTTAGCGTCCTAATCATTACACAAGCTGCTGGGTCCAGTAATCTGGGCTTGGGAGTCAATGCAAGTGTGGCACCTCTGTCTGAAGAAGAGTCTCTCTTCTACCCTCTCCCAATTGCTATTCCCTCCTCAGCCACACAGAGCACCCTATTGGGATGCATGGGCTTGTGGGGAGTTTGACCACAGCTGCCAGATGTGCAGCAGAGAGCCATGAGAGTGGTTGCACTGCTGGCAGCTGGAAATCCTCATGAACAACCACTGCTAGGCAGCCTGACGTGGGACAGACACAGGCTGGCAGTCACAAAGCTCGCCAGCTCCCCTGAGCAATAAATGCCTGACCTGGACACTGGTACGTTAAAAGGAAGCACAAGCATATTATGAAAGAGGGTCTGGATGGGAGAGAGCTGAAGCCTGGATGGATCAGAGCAGAGAAAACACCAAGGCACACGAGTGAGGGCACATGTGTCTGTCAGTACAGGTCATTCATCCCACTTGAGGAACTGCAGAGCACTCTGGCAGGAAGAGCAGATGGAGCTGTGCTGCATCTGCAGGAGACTCCACTGCCACTAAAGGGCTGGAGCTCGTGGCTGCATCACAAACACAGAGCTCAGCCCAGTGTCCCTTCCCTTGCTTGGCTCCCGGGCATCCCCGCTGTGCCTACAGAGCCGTGCCCTGCCGGTGACAAGCAACAGTCTCAGCCCAGCAGCCCTGGGGTGCAGGAAATGCCCTGTGGCCCTGCTGTGCCTCATGAACTGGGCTGCTGACCCAAATGAAAGATGCTTGCTCCCCACTTGCAAATGCTACAAAGGATATGTAATCAGCATGTAGAAAACCTCTGGTTTTTTTTTTAACTGAATGCTTCAAAATGCACGTGCAATTGCAGCTATTGTAGCAGCCTGTGTTCATTGGTTTATATGCATAAGCTGCCATGTTGTTGCTGGTGTGTTTGAATGAAGCAGAGCTCCAGCAAGCAGACAGAAAGCTTCTTCACATGCATTTAGCTGTGCTGTTTAAAAGCTGATTTTCCATTTATTGCTTCATTTCCCCCCCACCCCAGCTTCTTCCTCCAGGCAATGGTAGCCTCCCAACAGACTGCCTGCCCTCTGAAACTGGCTGTCAGAAGGGATGTGGAGAATTTCAAAGGGTATTTCAGAAGCAAATACAGCAAATAAATTCCACAGAGTGCTTAGAGGGCTTATTGTCATGTCTCAATTTACCAGCACTGAGTAATAATTCATGCAGATAATTTTTTTCTGTAAATGTAGTTTCTTTCAGGGCATTCAGGTATTATTTGAATTTTTTTTCCTAAATAATGTCTATGGTAATGCATTCATGAGCTTTATAAAGTGTTTATGAGAGTGCGATATGATTGAAAACCAAATTTGGTTGATTAGATTTTCCTGGAAACCAGGTGTGACATTTCAAGAATATGTTTGAGTCTGATTGTGAAGTAGGCTTGGGTTTATGAACACTACCTGTAATTCAAAAGAGCATCCATTTTGCAGTGGTGGTTTGTGCTGCAAGAGAAGAGCATGGGGGCACAAGGGCAGATATGACAGACCAAGTGCAGGTTTTTGCAGGAGCCTTTGATTTTGATACACTCAAAAGGAAGGCATGCTGCAATTCACTGCTTCACTGGGTAGCTATTTTTATGCTGAATTATCAGAAAAAAAAACTATCACCACTTGTAAAAATGCAGAGATACTGTTTTTTGGTTTGTTTTGTGAAGGTTCTGAGGGGTCAGGGTAGGGCCCTTTTGCTACATCTAACTTCTTCCCCCTCAAGTATCTTGTAAAACTTCACCATCAGGTAAGATGGCAAAGTGTCGGAATCTGTGGGTATTGGTGATTCCGAGATTGTAGAAAGTCTCTGTCTTTCAGCCCCGTTGCCAAAGCAGAAGCCATAATTGGTCTGTGCTGTTTCAAGGTTGTTTATTCTGTTTATCTCTAACATGTTCTGCTGCCCTGCCGCAGCTCTGTCCTGCAGGGCAGCGTGTGGGCTCTGCCCTCAGTGGGATGTTACAAACATTAAATACCACAAACTACCTGTGCTGGATTTACAATAACGTGCCAATATCTGTCACCTACGTTGAACAGTGTGTCCCCAGCCTAAACCAACAGAAAAATGCCAACACCACAGTGAAACATGGAGGGCATGAAGAAGGAGGAAAAGGACAAGACACACCCAATTTCCTCCATCTTGTCCCCTCTGAACCCCTAATCTAGAAATCTAAAATTTTACTTTTGCACCCGTGTCACACTTAATTATTACTCTTATCAAACACTCAGAGCTTGTAATTCATCCTGTAAGATTGAAAACTCCTCTCCATGGACAGAGATCACAGACAGTGTCTCTGGGGGCTCTGTACAGGGGGGTTCCTGACCCCTGCCAGGGTCCCAGACCTGCCAGGGCAGCCAGAGGGAAGCCTTGGATTCCCACAGCAAAGCAGTCAGGGTAGCCAGGCACCAGCCTTTTTCAAGGCATGTCTCCTTCCTTTTGCCAGGATCTATCCCTGCTAACCTACGGACCAGGCCAGGGAGCTGCAGCCCTGCTCAGGGTTGCATTGTGGTTGGCATCAACAACAATGCCAAAATGCTGCAGGAAAACACAGCCCTCACACCTTAAGAGAGTAAAAACCCACTCTGCTCAGCAGTGTCCCAAGTGCAGAAGGGGACGCCACAATTGTACCTGAAGACATTTTTGTGTCTTCCTCCACTTTGTCCCTGAGTTGTCTCACCTGACTGTCCAGACCCAGCATCATCAGCATGGAGAAGAAGAGGATTGACCAGAGTGGGGACAAGGGCAACTGTGTGACAACCTGCGGGTAGGCGAGGAAAGCCAGTCCAGGCCCTGCAGTAATGAAAAGGAGGATGAGCCCATGTTTACAAACCATTTGATGGGAAGTCTGAGCTAAGTGCCACGGTTAAATACAAAGACAAAAATGATAGCCAAGAACTCTGGGGTTTTCATGTAGGGCCTAGGAACACCTGCACTTTTGTGCCTGTGACCCACCAGCTTGGTGGGAGGCATAGGGGCAAGATGAGGAGACAGGATTGGAGAAACCAGTCCTGCAAGAAAGTAATCAAGTAATCAAATTATTGCAACCAAATGGAGCCGGAGCACTGTGCTAGAAAAATAAACTGATATTCACAGCTGGTTATAACTTTCCTGGTGCCTTTTTTTTTTTTCCTTCCCACCGCAAAATGCTGTTTCTTGAGATAAAAGCTTTCTCTGGAAAGACAGCAATTTCAAAATATGTCTTTGTGCAGAGAGACACAGTCCCATCTTGGTTAAAAAATTATTCTGAGATCACAGTCTCAAGATTTTGCATGAAAAAGAGACTCCAAATTTTGATCACATCTACTGAAAACATAGGTAGCATCTATTCTGCATAGGAAGTTTTCAGACAGCAAATGGGCTAAATATTTCACTACAGCAAAATAAAACTTCAGCATACCTAGCCAGGAAAGAACCAAGGGCACCCCACACAAATGGTTCTCACAGGTTGCTGTTGCATTTGAACCTGGGTTTCTGCTTACCTGAGGAGGCCAGCTCTGACACCGACTTCTTTGTGATGTGTGACATGAAGCCAATGATAGAGAAAATAACAAATCCTGCAAATATGCTTGTGGTGGAGTTTATACAACAGACAATAATGGAGTCTCTGGAAGAGAGAAAGAGAGAAAAAACCCCACCTGCAGGTCCCTGCAGTGCAGGAGAGTGAGGTAAACAAAAGACCAAGCCCTGTGGAGAGCTGGTCTTGTGCCTTGGATGGGTAGCACAGGAGACATACTAAGTGTCCTGTAGACAGGGAGCCCTTCTAAAGAGATCACAATGTGTCCCCTAGGCTGCATGTTGCCAGCAAGGGGATAGCAGAGATCAGGCAGATTCACCACAACCCCCTGCCTCACCCGTGAGGAGCCCCTGCCACACAGGAGGACGGAAAAAATCTACCGACCTGTAGACATTGTTGTGGAAAGTGTTGTAGCTGCCCAGAGCAATGAGGGAGCCCAGCCCCAGGCCGTAGGAGAAGAAGATCTGCGTGGCTGCGTCCATCCAGACCTGTGGAGAAGGAGCCAGAAGACGAGTGCAGCAGAAGGGGACTCGGTGCTGTAGGTGCATGTCCTGCAGCAGTGCAGTGCAGGATAGCAGGGGGACTAGGTGCAGACTGTGGAGCTGTGTGCTTGGATGCACAGCCCACTGGGGTGAACAGGACCTGAGGGAACCCTGTCAGTAGGGCCCAGTCAAGAGTTTCTTACTAATATCTAATCTAAAGCTATTCTCTTTCAGTTTAAAGCCATTCTTCTTGTCCTATCACTACATGGCCTTATCAAAAGTCCCTCTCCAGGGCTTTACTGTAGGGCTCTTTATATACTGGAAGGTAGGGAATCTGCATCCTTCCCATGTGTCAAGTGTATCAAAGTGCAGTCTGGCCCAGCATCAGAAATATATCCCCAGCCCTTCGATGGGATGGATGTAGATTGATGAAGGGTCCTGCATTTCTGAACAGTGTTCCATGCAGATCAGAAGGTACTCTTGCATTGTCTGTCTGCGTGTGTTTGCACATGTGCCCCCAAGGGATGCTGCTCCACTCAGAGACCCACATCCTTCTCTCACACCCTCCATTTCTCTCCCACTAGTGTGTCTTTGATTTTCCAACATGGAGCTGTTTGTGCAAACAACTGCAGAGGACAGCTTGCAAAGCTGATCCCAGTGCCTTAAGGTATTAAATCTCAGAAAGTTCAAGAAAAAGAGACAGACTGTTTGTTTCTTAGATGTGTAGTATTTACACAACTTTTCTGGTCTCGAGAACCCTGTTTCCTGCATTAGAGCCAATGCATTGGTAGCATAGTTACAGAGAGTGACCTGAAAGAGGGATCATTGGGACCATCACTGGGAAGTGACAAATGTCCAGCTGTCCCCACTCACACATGACCGGTGACTTTGCATTTTTCAGCAGCAGTTCCAAAGTCGGTGTATCCTGAAAAACTTCATTTTTGCAAGTATCCCTGCTCCTCCTGGGTCACCTCTCTGCTTCCAGTGACCAAGAACACATTACTGGCCACCACTCATCACTTAAACACTTCCAAAAACTGCTGCTGTGTGCTGCTGTGCTTGTGCTCCTTCTGAGGCCCCCATGCCAGCACCACATCATCCTTTCTCTGGGACCACCAGACCAGCAGCCCTAGGACAGCCACTGAAACGAGACATTCCCAGCCCAGAGGGCAGGTCCCTTTGTCAGGATAACTTCTGACTCCCCATACCCTGTGGATATCACTGCTTGAGTACAGCAGAGCTGCTGCACGGATTTCCACCCATGAAGGAATTTTTCCTCAGTTTTGTCTCAGCCTATGGGACATGGGTCATGAATACTTGGACAGGGTTATTCCAGAGTTTGTTTAAGTACTTACAGTATTCATGGGAAGTGCCTGGGGAAGCCTAATGCAGAGACAGCTGGGAGATAAGAGCTTTCCTCACTAGGCTACAAACCTCAGAGTCAGAGAGCTTCCTGAAGTCAGGTGTGAGGTAGAAAAGGATCCCCTCCTTGGCTCCTGGCAGTGTGACTCCCCGGAACAATAGGATGAAAAGCATGAAGTAGGGGTAGGTGGCTGAGAAATACACCACCTGAAAAAGACCCCATGGGAGAGAAGCCATCAGCCCACCAGTGCCCAGGACCTTTCCTGCCCATGGTGTCATTGAGTCTGGCACGTTCTCCTGGTGGGGGGACAGGTTCCCAAGTACAACCACTTGCAGCAGCATTTCCTTGCATTTTCTGTCCCCCATCCCCATGCTAATAACGTTTCTGGCTTTTTGAGGTTTCTCCCTGCCAATAATACTTAAGGACACACTAATCACAAAAGTAGCAGACTGAAGGCTGGATGAAATGCCCAAAGATAAAAGAATTGCACAGGGATAATTTTAGTCCACAGAAGTAATCCCCTTAAGTCATCACATCCTTATTTTGCAGAGCTAAAGCTGGCGTTTCTCTAGACCAATGCATCAAGCAAAACAAATTGTCTTGATTCCACTGCTTTCTTTTCAGCACTGGTTCAGTATCTCACAGATATGTGCCATCCCTCATCACAGGGTCCACACCAGTAATCACCAGGGCTTTGCTGTGGCTGTGTAGCTAAAGCCTGTTTGAGAGCCACTGGGGAAGTTAACAGCTTGGGTGACCTACCCCTGAAGTGCTTCTTTCTGATCTCTCCTCTAGATTATTTCTTTTATAATAGTGTCCTGCTGTACCATGCTGTGCTCTAAATAACACATCCCAGCATCTCAGCACTGCTGTTTCACTAAACAAAGCAATCACCTTTCTGCTGTGCTAGCCTGGAACACTGCACAGGGAATAACAATGGGCTTCTCGTCTGAAGGTCTCCCATCAATATCAAAAGGGCAGCAGGGAAATTTTCAAAGGAGATGGTGAGCTTTTTTCCACCAGAGGCAATTTAAGAGACTGTGATTGTCAAAAGTGGGAGGCCACAAGAAGCTTTGCTCTCTCAAAAGACTGTCCCAAAGTGGGAAATATAAGTAATTTCTGAAAATGCCTCTTCCCAAAAAGAATGAATGCTCAGACCCATGACCTTACAGGCAAGAGCTATTCTCTACACTTAGAATGAAAATTACCATAAACATCGTAGCAATTTTTACAGCCATGAAAGGTAAATGTCAGGAATTTAATAGTATCTACTGTGATTTTGCCTCTAAATACCGTAACCTTAGCTATAGACACTTAAATAAAATTGAGTCTGGAGGACGTTTTGATGGTGCAGCAATGACAGGCAGCACCAAAAGACCCAGCCCTCACACTGTACCTTGCCTGTCCACTCCACACCCTTCCAGATGGAGAAGTAGACCAGCAGCCAGGCCAGGGCCAGCGTGCCAGCCAGGGGCCAGCGGACGCTGCCAGGCTCCCCCAGGCCTCCGGACATCTGATGCATATTCCTCCTAAGGGTGGGAGACACTGTGTTAGGAAGAAGTCTCACAATCAAGGGCAGAGGAATTCAGAGCTCCCAGAGGTGGCTGGACAGTGAAGGGCCAGCTGCAGACAAGTGTGAGAACCCACAAATCCCTAGAGAGAGCTGAGGATCATTGTGATGGGACAAAGGGAGACAAAGAGAGGTGGAGAGACTGTTTGCCTGCCCATCCATCTCACCTGCGTCTGCACAGTGCACCCCATGCCCACCATGGCCAGTGGCTGGCTGTAATGCCCTTCTGCCAAAGCTGCCCAAGGAACAGAGCCAACAGGCACAGGCACAGCCCTGATGGGCAGGCACAGTGACCACAGGGAGGGAGAGAAACCTGGTGTAGGCAGGCGAGCACGTACTCCCAGAACTCGGTGACAGCGCTGGTGAAGTTGGTGGTGTCGTTCAGGGAGTAGTTGGAGAAGCAGCGGTCTGTGTTCCAGGCGTTCCCACAGGTCTGCCACGGCAGGTCCTGCACCAGCACAAGGACAGCAGCGTTATCATTCATGTGATATCTCCCAAGTGAAATCTGCCTTCTTTTAAACTGAAGCCCCTTAATTTTTTTGCTAAGGTAATAGGCAGCTCCACTGGATGGGCATGCCCTTGTAGCCAAAATAATGGAAGAATTTTTGAAAATATGATAAATTGTGATAAGGATTTTCCGGGAAAAAAATCTCATGATGTGATTAGGGCAATACTGTAGCTCCAATAAAATGCTAGCAATCCCTCACATAGAAAGCCACTTCCAATTAACTGTTGATAATTAATACCTACAAATTAAAATACTATCAAGGGATACGGTGTTTATAACCATTACAGCTTTTTGCTAGCTTCACTCAACAAGTGGCTAGAATTTACTGCAGAAAGAATAAGCAGGGATTTCTTCCTTATGTTTCATTTACACCAAATTCAATGCTTAAAAAGCAACATGGCCCTGAGAATGGAGGCAATGGGTTGTCTACAAAAACAGACTTTTATAACACAAGCACAGGAGAAAATTGTTCAGGACAGTAGCTGTTTCATGCTGTCCACTGCCCTGATTATGAGCAGCACAAAGGGATTCCTGGGAGATGTTTACACTGCGGGTAGCAGTGTGCTGCAGCACAGCACTACTGACTTAGATCAGTTCTGGCACTGCAGGCAGTGAAGCAGCAGTGCCAGGGGCCATGTGAGTGGGCAGGGCAGCTCACCCAGGCCACGAAGTGCCATGGCTGAGCCAGCCTGAGGAAAGCAGCTTGGATACATCTCCATGAGTAGCTACCTCTTTTCCCAAGCACAGCGTGTGTAGATAAATTCAGAGCAGCTACTCTGGGTGATTTTCCTCTGCAGATAAGTCCTGGGGCTCCAGCTCAACATAGCTTTAAGAAGATGTTTGTATCCATCCCTATTCTTCCATGAATGTAGACCTCTTCAAAAATATTATCTTTGTTTTAAGTGCCTTGTGCCATCAGTGCCTTTAAGTGCTGCCTTTACTGCTCCATCTAAAATCAGTTCACTCCAGCAGATGATACCATCAAACGTGGTATCCTGGCAGAATGGTGACTATTGCAGGGGTGGAGGTGACATTCCAGTGGCCAGCCTCCTGGTGATTTCACTGAGGACTTGCTAACTGCACTTAAGAAAAGGCAGTAGCTTGAGCAGCGCTGCACAGCAACTCTTCAATGTCTGCATGGTAGAGAAGCTGCACAGCTCTCACAAGGAGGGGCAGGCTGGGGGACAGTTTGTTGCTTCTCCATTTCCTCTGAATTTCAGAGGACAGCAAGTGCAGAAAGCAGGCTGGGCTCCTATTATAGTTCAAAATATTCTTAGTTAAATTTAGGAGGCACAGGGGACAGACATCAGCCTAGCTTTTTCATTTGCACCTCAAGTCCTTTTGGGAATTTGGAATCATTTTCTCTGGTAAAAGAAAAGGTCTTGAGCCAAACACCTGGATCTGCCTATGTACATACAAGCACTGTCACCACCCGGGTCTGTAACACCTGAATGTACCAAAGCCTTATCCTAAGAAGCATCCTCCCCAGGGCATAATTGGGATGGGTTACTTTGGGGAAGACCTCTGTTTATTTGGGAATCCCTGAGGGTGCATCTAATCACCCACAGCCAATAATTTTGTTCTAGATCCAGGACCCTACAGTGATAGGCGGTATTGGTGGTAGAAGCACAGCTGGGAATGCCAAATGAAATAATTCAGCAAAAGTCTTGGTAGATACTTGAAAGGTTTGCAGGAACAAAAAGGAAAACTGGATGTACAGTGTCCACAATAGTATTTCAGGGTTATATCTAAATGACTTTTTAAAAGACCCCATTTGGTTGATGCCTTTAAGGCTTCAGGTTGCTCAGAGAGTTACATTAATGAAACTCTTACCAGTTTCTGGGCTGAAATAAATAATTCAGCTGCCAAGAAGTTAATATGGGGTATGATTCTAACCTTGTATGGTAGAAGGCCCTGCTATGGAAGAGGAACCCACTATAAACCATAACACCAAAGCGCACACTGAGGGACAGTCACAAGATGTCTAGATACTTTCTGAATAATTTTCCCAGCAGAAAAAAAAAATCCCTTGGAGATCATTTATCAAGAGAGAAGTGAATCAGAACTAATTAAGATAAGGACTAAGTCCTGAGAAATAAGACCATGATGTTACAAAACCTGACAAAACCAGTTCTGGAAATGTGCAGCTCAGATATGAGCAGCCCTAGAAATAAAACAAAAACACAGGCTGAGTTTTAAAGACTGAAGTGAGTGGGAAACAGTTCCTGTAGAGGGGATAGGACCATCTGCCCCGCAGGACAAGCATCACTACCCATCAGCACCACAAAACTGCCTCCAGGCCTGATGAACCTCTTCAGAAAGGGCGTAGCACGATGCTGACAAGGGCTCTTTGCACAAATGGCAAGCACCTAGTGATGGCTGTGGGTCATAAAGAAACCACTGCCCATAAGTGGGAGGGAGGACGCAGACCACAGCCAATGCCATGCTGAAGACATGCCCGCGACTCACCGCAGTGAAGGAGTTGAAGAGATAGTAGAGAGCCCAGGCAATGATGACAATGTAGTAGATGTTCAGCCAGAAGGACAGAACCATAGCTGCCAGTCCAACGCCTGCAAATGAAGGCAGAGAGCAGCATCAATCCGGGTCTCCAGTACCCAAGGGAGTTCATGGGCACCACAGCAAGGATTTTTTTTGAAAACCAGAAAAAGGGAATTAGCTCATCAACACAGAGTTTGCTATAGTTGCACAGTGAGCTGGTTAGCAAGGGAGGCTCATTCCCTTGTGTCTCTCAGCCACACATTTCCACTGGGGGGGCAATGCTTTCAGTGTGCTACCAGTACTCTATGGACAGAGCTCCATGAAGACAGGATCTTGTCACTTCCCTGGCAGAATTGTACTTTCCCACATCCAAGGCATTTCTAAATCACCATTGGCTTCTAGAAAACAGTTACTTCAAGTATGGCAACAAGTTTCAATCTCATGCAGTTAAAGTAAGCATATGTAGAGAGGCTTGGAAAAACAAAGGGTCTTCTGCAACCAGAGCCCCTCTGTCACAGTCCTTATTGTCCATAAAGTGCCTTGTCATCACACAAAACTGCTTGAACAGAGCACAGTGATGTTAGTGACTGCAGACATTGAGGTCAAGGACAGCTTGATAAAGACAGAGGGGGAACCCAGCCCCTCCTCACTTGCCACCCCATCCCAGCCCCCAGGGATTTGCTGATTTGCCTTGAAACCATTAATGGAGTTTTGCCTCTAGTTATGTACCATTGCTGTCACAAACATACAGCACAGTACCTTTGAACATGGGTGCTAATCTCCAGACTCCTAGTCCACCAACAGAGGTATACTGGCCCAGAGCAGTTTCCAGCAGGAAGAGAGGAATCCCAGCAAACACTAGCGTCAGGAAATAGGGGATGAGGAAGGCCCCTGAAAGAAGGAGCAATGTTATCAGGCAGTTCCCTCTTTGGTCAATAAGGAAATGTCTCCAGCTCTGCAGTTTCTTGCTCTGCAGCTCCCATGTGATGAGAAGCAGCCTCTCCTAAAGGTGAGGTGAAAGTTTGCAGCTAGAGTTGATGTGGTCGGTGAGTCTCCCACTGAGGTGGCAGCTGCCTTCCCCTTACCACTGTGGTTATGTATGCACCATGTATACATGTACACTGGCATCACTAGCTGTACAATGCCAGCCTCACTTTGTTTAGACAATGCTAAACCCAGTCTGACAACACCCCCAAAAGCTTGGACACTGACATTGGTAACTTGTTGATGCTTTCTGTCTTACCTGAAGAAGCTTTCAATTCTTCTTCTTGAGGGAATAGTGCACAGGAATATCTGACATTGGCCACTGCTTTCTTTGTTTAGAGCTGTTTCAGTCTTTTAAGAAAACTGTGACCAAGACTGTATTGGCTCCTGTAACAGTGCTATATACCACCCCACCTGTGTTTTAGTTTTACCCTTAAAATTCCTAGTGAAAAATACTATTCTTCTCCATGTCCCTATGGAAATCATCTCATCACTAAAAAGGAGGTAGAACACTCATTCACTAGAGATATTACTGGCACCCAGTTTTTAGAAGAGCAATCAGAATAGGAGAGCCTTGCTGTGTGATTGGAAGGCTGTACAAGTTCAGGTCATCCTGACTTCTAGGTTGTGGGACAAAGCAAATTTTTTATCTTTCTCATGCATGTACTGGAGTGGACCATCATTTCTGAGGAGGACAAACTTTTGCAGAAGATGCTCGCTGGGAACAGAGGGAGGACACCCAGTTTGCCCAGAAGCGGCTGGCTGTGTTCAGGACAGCGCTGATTCCTGCACTAGCCTTAGGGCTGAGCTGTCAGTCTGAGTCTTCTTCTCCAGATAATCGTAGGAAAGCAGACATGGAGACAGCCAGCAAAGCCACTCTGGAAAGCTGTGACCCAGCTTGCACCCAGCAGGGCCAGGCTCCAGCAGCTGCTCTCTGAGGGCAGGGAAGCAGCCAGGCACAGCCAGGGATGCTGGCTCAGGGGACATCCAGCTGGGGACATCTGCCTGCCAAGCAGGGAGCTGAACCCAGCTGGGAGAGGCAGGTGCCAGCACTCGGCATGGGACTCCATGGAAGGCAGCATGCAAGAGGAGCTGGCAGTGGGTGGTGGGGAGAAAACACTCTCTGTGCCAGCAGCTCAGTGACCATGAACCTGAATCACAAGCTGGCATGGAAGTGCAGGCTCTTGGCTTCATCAGCAGCCTGATGTACAGGGAAGAACAGCTTTGAGCCTCACTGTGCCTGCTCAGCAGCCTCCCCTGTGTGCTCACTAGACAACACAGCCTGCAAGGTTCAGGCCCCTGAGAGCCCAGTGGGAAGCCAGTGTCTGCTCTGAGGACACGGCTGCTGCCACCCTGCTGCTGTGGAGTTTGGAGGCTAAGCTTAGCAGCAGCACAAGTCTCTTCCTTGCTTCTGTAAAAGCAATTAATGAAATCTGGCTGTAGCTCTGATGATCCTGCACTTCTTATCCACAGCAGGTCAGGAAGGTTTGTAGATGAAAGATCTTATTAGACTATTGGGAAAAAAAAAACAAACAGAAAAACAAACAAATAAACTTTTGGACACAGGTCTTTTATCCTGGCTTGATTCTCAAGAATAGTGGGAAATCTACAAACCAGACCACTTCCTTGAGCTGAAGGCTATTGGCAATGACACTGCCACTCAGGAGGGCCAGGTCCCCAAGCAGGCATGGATAATATCCCCAGGTCCTGTGCAGTCAGATAGGAAATCAGTTCTGAAATTTGTATCTAAATTTTGCAGGCCAGTACAAAATACGGTTGTGTGTGACCTTGTGGAAGTCCCAGTTTATCTCCAGATCCATGGGTGTCAAAGAGGTGATGACGCTGGTCTTGCTCAGACCCTTGGAGGCAAGAAAGGATCAATAGCGCCTGGCCTCACTGTACAGCCCCAAAACTGCCAGCTCCTAATGCCCTACAGCAGAGAACAACAATTAATCCTTAAAGCAGGGAACACTGCCCACGAATCAAAAATCGAGAATTACAAGCTGTTACACTCTGTTGCTTTGAGTGTCAGTGTGCAAATGAGGAGTGCAGGATGCTTATTTAAAGGATTGTTCTTCTCTTAAGTTATTCAAGCTTAGGATCTCACAGGCAATTTTTAGCATGTACTGAAGTGCGTTTAGAGTGAATTTGGAGTCTGGTACAATTCTGCTGAGATCAGAGGGACTATATAAGGTTAGAGATTAGTGCAGAGGCTGGAGCCACGGGCACGGCTGGGCACATCCAGCTGCGTGCAGGGCCAGCAGGGAGCCCAGGCATCACTTTGGGTGAAGCCTGCACCCCGCAGCGGATGGGCCGAGCGCTGGGCTGCCGTGCCCTGGGCTCCCTGCGCCGAACAAGCCAGCCGTGAGCTGATGCAATGCGACAGCGGTAAGTGAGACGACAATATTTCGATTCAGTTCAATTTGCCTGTGCGTAATGGAAGCAGCCCACACGACCGTGCTCTGAGCGGCGCACATGCGGGACGCTAAAATTAGCGTTCCACCCCCGGTCTGCCGTGCAGGCAGAGCCGAGGCGGTGCCCACCCGCTTGCGAAGGAGCTGCCGTGCGCCCCCGCCGCTCCGCTCCAGCCCCGGTGACGCTTCCGTGCGTCAGCTCGGCTCCGCGGCGGCTCCGCGGCGGCTCCGCGGCGGCTCCGCGGCGGCTCCGCGGCGGCTCCGCGGCGGCTCCGCGGCGGCTCCGCGGCGGCTCCGCGGCGGCTCCGCGGCGGCTCCGCGGCGGCTCCGCGGCGGCTCCGCGGCGGCTCCGCGGCGGCTCCGCGCTCCGCTCGCTCCTCAGAGCGACAAGGCGGAGCTAGCCAGGCTGCCCCGAAGCGGCAGGGGAGGCAGGGTGCTGGGAGCCGGCAGGAACCAATTCCCGTGTTTCATCTGCCTGGCGTTTCTGCTCGCAGCCGGCGGCTCCCTCTGCGCGCCCGCAGCTGTCAGGGCAGAGATCACCCCGTGTGCCATTGCTAATGCGAATAATAGCGCTCCACACCTCTACAGCACCCTCTGTCCTAGGTTCTCAGCTGACTTTACATGTAGGATTGATTTTAGCTTCATCTAATTACAGGCGTTGTCATCTCCACCTTTTAGTGTGAGGAGACAGTCACGGGCAGCACAGAGCTGGTGTGAGACTTGACACAGCAGCCACAGGGGAGATGCTGGCTAACAACCAGTGCTGGCACCTAGGCCAGACAAAGGTGACAAACCTGCACTGTGGCTCTGGCATTGGTGGCACAGGCTCCCCAGGGCAGGCCTGGATGTTCCCATAAACCTCACTCAGCTCAGCTGCGCATTTCCACCTCTCCACAAAACCCAAAGCTGTGGATGTCCCATTCCTGAAAGTGTTCATGGCCAGGCTGGATGTGGCTTTGAGCAACCTAGTGGAAGGTGTCCCTGCCCTTGGCAGTGGGTTTGGAACTGGCTGATCTTTAAGGTCCTTTCCAACCCTGACCATCCTGTTATTCTACAACTCTATGAAAACAACACGGTCAGTTAGAAATCTTCCTGTTGAAATTGCTAACTTTCTGGTCTCCTGCTGGCACTCACTCCACATGCTTCAGAGAAAGGGCCTAGATAGCCTTAAATGCCATGACATTAAATGGACATTGCTTTAGGGAACAAGAGCCTTCTCCTCTTTTCCAGGGTTGGAGGAGAAGAGCATCCTACGCTGCTCGCAACAGCAGAAATGGGCTGGTGATATGAGAAGTTATGAGAGCCACAGGCAAAAGGAAAATAAAAAAGACATGGAGAAGGAACTTGAGAAGAGACCCTCAGAGCAGCATGAATGAGGGTGTCACTTGGGATGGGGACTCCAAGCCAGGAAGACCTAAGAGGGAAGCAAAGAGCAATGTGGGAGGACTAGCAGGCAAACCCTAAAATTATATATACAGCCTTAAAGGTAAGGAAAAGGAGTTGGACTTGTGTGGGAAGTCTGTAAAATGGTTCAAGGAAGTGAGCAGCTCTTCAAAGGGGAGAAGGAAGGCTGTTTTAGTAACAGGCACAAGCAATGGGAGAGCTCAGCATGGAGTGAGAAGAAAGAACCTCTGCTCTACTGACGCCTGCCTCTACTCCCCTCCACAAAAGCATCTCCCTGACAAGACAGAAGAAAGAGCACCATTTGAGAGGGGAGCTGAGGCACAGAAGTGTGTTTTCTGAGTTGATCCGAGATGTGCAGAAATTCTGTAGCTGAGCAGGGAGAATTCCCTTGAGAATACGCTAGACTGAGGAGAACCCACTGGGTACCTATTTCTGCATAGCCCTCCCTGTAATTAAATGAGTTCCTACATGCTTGCTTTTTTTTTTTGTAGCCCTGCAAATTTGGACTGCACAAGCATGACAGAACTCAAACTGCTTGTTTTGTTTCTTTGGACTGTTTTTTCCCAGCCTACAGTTGCTAGTAAAACCCACAGATCATGGAAACTTGCCTCTGGACAATTTAATAACTCAGGACCACCCATTTGCCCAGACCCACACCAAGTCTAAACCTGCTTGGGTACAAGGCTGCTCATTGTGCATTTCTCTCACCTCCTCCATTTTTGCCACAGAGATAAGGGAAGCGCCAGACGTTGCCCAGACCAATAGCATAGCCCACACAGGACAGCAAGAAGTCAAATTTTCCCTTCCAGGAACCTCTGTCTGGGATCTCCTTCTTCTTCTTCTTGGTGCTCACAACCTCAGGGCTGATGGGCTCTGGCTCCTCCAGGGCTGCCTGCTTCACCTCAGAGGGAGAGCTCAGCTCCACAGAGGTGTTGTCCATCTTGCCCATGGTGACTCAGAAGTACGTCCACTCTTGCTGAGGGGCTGGAGGAGCAGGAAAGGCAGTTTCTGCCCTGGCCACGAGAAGACAAGATGGGAAGCACTGGGCAAAGCTCCTGGTGAGAAAGGAGAGAAGGTGTCCTGGGTCAATATAGTGTGTCAGACTTGCTTGTTACCATTACATAACAATTCTCTCAACTCTCATCTTATCTGCTTCTCATCCCAGTGCTCTGCAGGAAGAGCTTTGGGACCAGTAGGCATGCAGCAAAGGCAATTGCTCAGCTCCTCCCTGTACACCATGTTGCATGTGGTACTGTAATCCCCAGGTGTATTCAGCTTGTGCTCCTTGTGACTAGAGCCAGCCTGTGAACCACTGAAATCCCATTAAGTCGGGACTCCAAAGTCATGATGATTAATTGCGTGAGTCTGACTAAAAAATTTAGTTGATACCTGCATTGATTTTAGTTCCTAAGAAGTATATAACCATCACATCAAAACAATTTGAAAGAGAGCAAGAGCAAGCTATGTTACTACACCTGTGTCTAACCCAATGTTGCTCTTGTGTCTTGAAAAATAAGTGCAGTTCTCTTTTCCTGTTACACAAGCTATTGCAAAGAAAAAGGCATGGAAGAGAGCCAAAAGACTGCTTAAAAGTGTGGAGTAATTTCCATGTGAAGAGAGTATAAATCAAACAGGATCCATTGTTCTGTGGAAGAGGTAGCTGGCAGGGGCCTATAAATGTATCAGTGTCATAGACTACACCATTCTAGGTATTCACCATTCCTGACACAAGAACTGCAAGGGATTAAACCATGACCAGCAGGTGGTATATTCAAAAAGAGGAAGAGGTGATATTCCAGAAAATGTACAGCTATGGAGCAAGACTCCCCACTGCAGGACATGCTGGATGCTGAGTTTATATGACTTTAGAAGATGAAATTAAGGGAATAAATAATGGAAGGAAAATCCACCAGAATCTACTACTGCAATTCTGCAAAATCTTGAGCTGGAAGTTGTTGGAGGTTGAGGGACTCTTCCAAGGAAATAACACTCTTTACTTTTCCTGGTTTTATCCTCTCCCATCAGCATTGGCCCTCAGCAAGCACAGAAGACAGGACTGGCATGGGGTTTGCTCTCACCCACTTCTCAGCCCATTTTACAGAGACAAATTTAATCCTCACCAGGAGTCGTGAGGGTGGTCAGTGCTACGATCTCCCAGCGAAGTCTGTTGACAAAACATTAATAGATGCAAACATTGGAAAACAAACAAACAAACAAAAAGAAAATCAAAATTAGTATATCAGGAAACAAATCAATGCTGTTAAGAAGTGTCAGCTCTAGCAATTAAAGCTGACCTTGCTTGAGCTTCTTACTAGACTTGGCAGTCTACTCTCATAAAGAAACAGTACTCATTAGTCCCATGGGATGTTTGGGGGACTCATTAACTAGCGTTTCTAAGGTGTACTGGATAGAGATGGTCTCCTAAATCCAGGCTCAATGGCAGTATCACTTCTGCTTACTACAGTAAGGCACTCCTTACTACTACAGTAGGCATCCCATGATGACAGCAGGTGGATTTTGTTCCCCCACAGAATTCATCACTGAGGTTAGAAAAAGTCTAACAGCTGTGAAGAGAATGGCTGAACCAGGAAATAACTGTAATTCCTTCTGATAAATCAGTGGAGAAGCCAGACTGTGGGACAAAGTCTGTTACCAAACTACCTGAGCTGTGGAGCCCACACCAAGCCTCACCCTCACTCCTCTAGCCCCAGGATGGTTGCAGTAAGCCCAGCAGTAAGTGGCAGCATGAAAACGGAGAGAAGAGACCATTTCACATAGCCCATGAGGCAGATGCTGGAAGAGACCATTGTGGGACACTTAGAGGCTTTGGCTGACAGATCCCATTTCTGTCCTACACCTTGTGATAGCACTATCACACCAGCTCCTGGCTCCTCACTAAGGCAGGGAGAAAAAATTATACAGAACATGTAGGAGGAAAGTAAAATAAAGAAAATTTATAAATCAGAAGAGAAGAAATAGCACCAAAACCCTTGGGAAGAACTGGTAGCTGGGCTAAGTCAGAGTAATAAGCTATGCCTGGAGACATAACAAATTGGACACAGCAGAAGCCATTTAGACTCACTTTTTTCTTCGGTAGACAAAAAACAGAAGGTAAGCTGCTGTCTTTAAAAAGTATTTCCATATCCTGCTCTCCCTAGGCTCTTTCCCTGTTCCTGTTGCCACAGCTCTGGGGTGATACTGCAGTTAGATGGTCACACCTCATATTTCCTAGACTTGGGGTAAGATGATAAAGGAGCAGTAGACCACACTGGCAATTTCTTCTTGCCTGAAAAGTGAGGTCCTTCATCTCCAGCTCAGAAAGAGTAAGCTACATACATTTATAGAGGTTTCTTCACAGTCAAGAAATAGAAAAACAGGCAAGAGGGTCCCGCTGAGGATCCATCCCACCTACTGTCTTGTCTCTCTGCAGTGATGGATGATTAGGACAGAAAGAATTGTGCATGTCCTACGGCCCAGCTGCGCCATGTCCTTCCCCAGACCAGCAAAAACAGAGGCATCAGCCACCCCAGGCCAAGTGTTTGACTCCTGTGTTGCTCACATGCTGAACAAGTGGTCCCACTAGAACAAAATGTTAGCCCCTCCACTTATCCACACGGGTCTCCTCTAGCACAAACACAAATCTTTGTCCTGTGCTGACAGCACAGAGAGAGCAGAGTCAGTTCAGCAGTTCTCTGTCATGTCAGATTATTTGTTCTGAAAAGCACACGGTGCTTTGGGCACAACAAAATGCCTGAAGGACTCAAAATAATAATCAATAAGAGCAGAGCTACAAGATGAAGGTGGCTCTACTTTGCAAGGACTTGAAAACAAGGTCAAAGTTTCAACATGATACTAGAGCAGGTTTTTCATTCAGCTTCTTCCAAATGCACCATTGGAAGAAGTTTAATGAGAACTTTCCAAGGAATCCATGAAAGCTAATGCCATAGATTCCTGGCAGTAAAGAAGTGACCTGTGTTTCACCTAGTCATATAGAAGGCCTGGTCTTCTGCTGCTCAGTAAAAACAATTGCCTTTTACCCAGTGGATGCAGAGCCAGACTGAAATGCATTCTGGCAAACAGACCACCTTTTTTTTTGAGGGATTTTGCTTCAGAAAAGTGAATACTGAGAAAGTATTGCCACCACTTGAAACTCTGCCTCCTGAAACACTGTTGCTAACAACAGTGACCTTTTTACTTTCCTTTGCTTCAGCATCAAATATTAACAGTCCTCTCAAATTTGACAGAAACCAAAAATTTCAAGGGTATAAAATTGCCCAAAATTAAACAGAAAAATGACCTATGGAAACATATGTAAGAAATACTTTCACACACCTCCCCACCCCTTATTTGTCAGTGATTTAACAGCCACACAAATTACTTCTGACCCATGCAGGTAGAGCCACAATTAGTTTAATTACACAGTGCAGGCTGTTGTTTAGTCAATTAGACTTGTCCTTCTATCCACACCATTTTAATGACAGCCAAGTAGCCCCAAGGCTCGTGTGTCTCATTTAGAGCCGTGACCGGCCGATCAGGGCAGAGAGTCTGACTTTCTGCTCACTGCAGCAGCAGCATATGCTGGAGCTTCCTGCATCTGTGAAAGCTGGAGGGTGTGGGGAAAAGCTCCCTGTGGGAGCCTGAGGATTCTGGCAGAGTGCTGGCCCCACATGGAGTCCACTCAGAGCTGGAGCATCGCAGTCCTGCTCCTGGCCGCAGGCTGTGCTTCACTCACCACTTCTGCCATCACCTTAACACTGTCCCTACGGAAAGCAGGGGCTTGTGCCTTTTTCAGAAAATGCAAATGATGCAGCCTCTGAACCATTTTAATTCTCTCACTTAAAACTCATCCTGGTCTCTGAGAAGCTTCCTCAGGAAGCAGAGAGATGGCAGGACTCTTTTTCGGCCCTAGCAGACTGTCCTGACCCAGTCTGAGCCACCACAGCACCACGAGGATCAAGGCCAGGCCACATCCTGCTCCCTCATGGCAGCATCTGAGTAGACTGCACATTTCCAAATAGGGAGGCATCCCTGTCTCCATCTTCCTCAGTGAAAGTATAGCATTAAAAAGATTAAAGGCCTATTTCTGCTTATTTTAAATGTCTTGATTAAATTTAAAAGTGTTTTTCTTTTCTTCTATAGTGCAACCTGTTACACCGAGATGCCAGTTTCATGATGTTGGTAGTTTTTGATGCATTACTCCTTTGCCCTGCCTGAAGAAACATGGACATTTTTAGCCCAGCTTTATTCTGCAAAGACCCATCTGTCTGATCCCAACCCCGTTACTTTTTAGTTCACTGTCGAGTTTCACCTGTGCACAAAAAAAGGGCACAGCTCTCACAGAAGTTCCTTAGGAAGTAGGGAATGGAGGGAAAGAAGAGCTGCAGGTCAGTGCTCCTCCAGAAGAAGGGTGGTGGGATGACCTGCTTTGTTCCTTGGTAAGGCACAGTCCCACTCTAGAGAGGCTGATGGAAAAAACCTTCCCAGAGCCTTCAATGAGAACATCAGTGGGGCAGAAATGCCTAGAATGGACACAGAGAAGGCAGTTTCAGATGGAATTTCTCACTTGGTTTGTACCTCCTGTGCCTGTTCGTGACAGCCCAGAGTGGTGTCCAGGATGTGGACAGGCATCCACATTGGTCCCTTCTCTCTTTTCTCCAGAGAGGCTGCACGGTCACAGCTCGGTCGATGGGGCCTGAGTTACTGTTCACTGGCTACTACCTCACCAAAACTCTGCCTCTGAGCCAAGATTTTAGCTTAAATCCTGATCTGAAGCAACATCCTGGGTGAGACTTTGGCATTCCCAAATGACCTGTCTTACAAGGACTCATCAGTGCTGTGCAAAAGTCATGGCTGTGCAGTGCATGAGGGGGAAGAAATCATAATTTCATACACATAAAGCTGCATTTGATGCAGCTCCAGAGATACTGCAAGTGATGTCAGTGGTTATTT